AGGATATCTGATTGTCCTCCACGTTCTTTCCTTTTAGTCACCACTTAGACTAAGGGTCAGATTAGGTAGGTAATACAATCCCACTCAGCCACCTCCATTAAACCAGAAAATGGAGAGGAGATTAATCAAAATAGGATAACCAATTAGCCATGAGTGCTCTCCCAACTATCCAGCAGGTAGTCAACCCTCTTTTACCTCAGAAGTGATCCATTAAGCACCTGCAAACTCGTGGAAAGCGATAGCCATTGAAAAGACAGTTGAAAATACGTAAGCAAAGCATCACAGCACGACTGGAGCGACCGGTCGTCAGGAATGGGCGACCGGTCGCCAGAATTTTTCCCTCCAGACTTTGAATCTGCTTCTAAGCGACCGGTCGCAAATGTCCAGCGACCGGTCGCTTGTGTGCTTGCGACCGGTCGCAAAGAACTAGCGACCGGTCGCTCTTCAGTTTTGCTTCCAGACTTCGAATCTGCTTCAAAACGACCGGTCGCAAATGTCCAGCGACCGGTCGCTTTTAGGCAGATTCAAAATCATCCTTTGAGCGCCAAAAAACTTTGTATCCTTTTAGGTGAGCCATTTTTTCCAACAGGATTTTCATGGAGTTTTGGGGGGCCACGGCCATAGCAAGCTTGCATGTGACTCAATACGACTATTGATTAATTGAATGCGTCAAATACTAACTGTAATCAAACAATTGAACAACTACTTGTGTATGTTCTTTTATCAAAATAAAGCAATCAAGAACAACATAAAAAAATTAAATTAGTTTCAGTCGTCAAAGGACTTCACCACTCAAAGCCTTATCGTTGGGGGATCTTCACGGTTGCAAGCATATATATCATTTACCAGTGAAGCATTTTTCTCTCCTTGATCTAAATTTCATTGCTCATTTCATGTTGAAGCATTTATAATTTCCTTTTAGCTAATATATATTCATACTATTCAACACTACTATGATTCTGACCAATTGTGGCTGTTGGATGCTCCCATGATCACATAATTCTGATAATATTATTACCTCTGAAAATTAAATTAATTAAGTGATCAAAAGAGCTCATTTATGAAAAATTAATAAATTTCCTCACTGCAGCTTATGCATGGGTGAAGTGCGAGAGGGAAGAGGATAAAGATTGCTATGCAGTCCTCCAAGAAGAAGCCAACGTTTACGGGCGTAGAGGTTCTCATTTTGGTGCTGAAGATCGATTTGTGCGTCTCACCCTCTTAAGGAGCCAAGATGATTTTGATTTATTGCTTCAACGACTCAACCAATTAGTCTTGGAAGAAAGTCATCGCAACGCTATTTTGTCCACGATTTGAAGACAAATTAGCCACATGTTTATTAGAAGCCAATTATATTCAACACTTCTCTTCAAGTACGGACAATATATATGTATTTGAACTACTACAGAAAATAAATAATAATAAAAATCTAAAAATTGGGAAGCGCTACTCATGCAATCCCTTAGGATTTCTCCAACTATAATGGGGCTAAAACTAAATTTACAAGTTCTAAAAATACAACTATTAATGTATTCCCCGAGTTCAATCGGTTTCACTTGAGCTCTAATAGTTCTCCTTCCAATAAGCAAGGAGTTTCTCCAATAGAGACATTCTTCGCATGGTTGGATGGACTAGAAGGTTGCACTTGCACACAATATATAGGACATGAGCATGACACATTCTTCAGAATAGGACATTCTTCATTGGATTTCTTTATCCTCCTTCAATTATTTTTTGAACCCTTACCCATCATCACTTGTCTTCTTCAATTATTTTCTAAACCATTACTCATCTCCTATTGTCTTGATTCAATCATGTTCTGAACTCTTGTCCATCTATCTTTATATCTTTATTGGATTCCCTCACTTTTCCCTATTTTTTCTTATCTTCATTCAATTATGATAAGACATATAGGCCATCTCATTTTTTCATCTTAAGGAAGAAGCCGTGAAGCAGAGAGAGAAGTGAAGAATACCATCTGACAAGCCATCAGCAATTCCACTCTAATATTGTGAGAGTGAGAGAGAGTTAATTGTGTACCACTCTAAGTGTGTGAGTGAGGTAAAAGAGGGAGAGTATAGTGTGGTGTCATTGTACTTTCTCTGTGTGTATCATCAAGCCCTAGGCATTGGCTTGGTAAGATCTTTCCTGTTGTACCCATTATTTTGTTATAGTGGAAGAAGTTTATACTGCTGCCCCGTGGACGTAGGCATTGCCGAACCACGTTAATTCCTGGTGTTCTTTATTTTTCTGCTTATATTTGTTGTTTGAGTTGTGAAGATTTTCATTCTAGCACTAATCGATCCTAACAGGAGGAACCTGTTGGGTTTATATAAAACCTAAACATCATTCTTAAAACAAACCGTCGTGACTGTTTCCAATATATGCAACTTCTTATCATAATTATATGGTATTTTCTGAAAATACCAAACGGTGGCTTGTTCAAATGACAACCAACACTTGCAATGGCTTGGTTACAATAACCACAACGCAACCTAAGATTTTTCATTCAATAATAAAATTAAATATTATAATATAAACTATTATATTATTAAATTTCCAACACACTTCACTAGCTTTATATTGGAAGAGATGGATATTTGGTGGGTAGCCGCACAGTTGGAGACAAGGTTTCCTTCTGATCAGCAAGGAGAGATAATTTTGATACAGTTGATTAAATTTCCAACACACTTCACTAGCTTTGTATTTGGTGTGCTAGCAATTTTGTGAGCAACAAGAAGAGTTTGTAAGTTTCTCCTTTTCTGTTATAGTTTGCTATTTTGTTTATGAGTTGCTTCACATGATTTGTATGTGAAGCAAAGAAAAGAAAATGGAAAACCAAATCCCATGTGAAAAGAAAATTAAATTACATAAACATGGGTGGATGAACACAAATCCCATATCAATCTGGTATCAGAGCATGTTGCGGGTGATTTGAGTATGATTCTTCCTTCTTCGATGTTTGCTTACCAATTCTGAACTAAGTTAATTTTTTTTGGGTAGAAATGTACTTATATTTTGTCATACATCACTATTCCAAATAGGTACGTGGAACTTATTAGAAGTCAAATAAAACGTTTCTAATAAACTTTAATCCCTTCTATCCCAATACTACATTAACTTTAATACCCCCTTATCTACATCAGCTAGCCTCAATTGTTTTGGGGAGGCAGGGCGACAGTGTAAACTTTCTAACAAAGTTTATAGGGAGTACTGCTGAAAGCTTGGGTGCCACGACAACTTCAAGTGTACCTCAGCCAGTAGATTTATTAATTGTCATTATCCCCACCAAAAGCAACCATAAGTAGCATGAGCCATTTTAGATATTAATTCATCAACAAGTAAATATAAAACAAAATTAGACAAAAGATTCACAGAATCAGCAATGTCTTTTAGCTTGCTTTGTCAACAAAAAGATATTTTGAATTTGCTGGGCATCCTCTTGCCAAAAATCCTAGCTCAGCAATTGGCTTCAATCATTGGCTATTTAAAACAAAGTGGTATATAAATGTAATATGACTAGCATTTTTGAAGAATTTAAGGTATGATCACACGAGCGAGAGATTAATTGAATTCCAAAAAAATACCCTACCATATATTTTATTTATCCTTATATTGAAAAGCCCTAAATTAAAATGAGAAATAACTCAGATCCTAAAGGAAATATGATTATAAATTTCTCAATTACGAAGAAACTGAGCAATACCAAAATGCACCCACCATATGGTATAGTGCACACAGGCAAACTTTTTATTCAGTTACACACATTGACAAACATTATTGCTTCGGCTTACACAAATTGACACACTTTTTTTATATTTTTCATACAAGCGATTCTGGAGAGCGAGAAATCAAACACAAGACTTCGGATTCAGGGATATATACCCTTAATTACTTAAGCTACAGCCTCCATGAACTCTGCATCGTCCATCATAGTTTGTATAGTCTCAGGCAAAAGGCAAGCTTCAAAGTCTATGCTTCCTTCTTCAGCCCCAGGAAACACTGTTAACTTCCCATCCATTTTGTTGCCAGCTCCACTTCGAACAGCAAGTGGTCTCCCCCACCCAAAATCATTACCATACACATTGAACCGAGGAGAGCTTCCTGTAAATAATCTGGCCAACAATGTTGGGTTCCTCATATTCGGAATAAGTGTAGGTTTTTTAACCCAATCCACCAAGTGATTCCTCGCTTGTTCAGGTGTCAGGGAGGAAATTTTTTTGTTTATTTGGGAAGCTGCCCAGCCAAGTCCATTTTGTAGCAGCTCACTTGCAATGGCGGTCACATTAACGCCTATAACCGCAGTCCCGAGGTACTCTTTTGGCAACGGTTCAGGCTCCCATCTTTGCCTCAACCCTATTGCAAACCGATAGTTAACCTGCTGATCAGGTTGGAGATGCCTGGCACGTGTCGTCGCTTGCCAAAGATGAGCCATGAGTGCCTGAAGAGATGAGATGTTACTGGTTGTGCCCATCTCAGCATTGGCCTTTGCTTTGAGCTTTGCTATTTTTTCTTTGGGAAAGTGAAACACTACCCTTCGTAAGAACAACTCGGATCAGGTGAGAACGCTTATGTGAGAACATTATATAAGAATAAATCGCAGCCATTGAAATGCATCTGAACGGTTGAAGAGAAAAGCGAGCTTACGGTGCATTAGCGTAGGCTGCAGTTTCCCCTTAGCAGAGGTGTCAGGTCGCGCCTGGTTCGAAAAAATCGCGCCTTTCTTATTCCTGACAGTGGCGCCTTTCTTGTCAATGGAGTTATGAATGAACCCTAGTCATAACACCCAAATACCTACCAGACATCAAGTTCTCTATTCCTCATCTCTTCTCACAGAAACTCCTTTGTGTACTGTTTCTTTTTGACTTGCTCTTCTGTCGTGGCAGAACCTCCGTGATCGAGTAATTCTCATCTGAACGTCTGAATCGGTACGTTTCTGTCGAATTTCCTCCCTCTCTTTGATATTAAAGTTTGCATGTTATACTGCATTCACTTAATTGAAATTGCATTAGGACTTTAGGGAGGATTTGAGGGCTTTGATTTTCTGGGTAAGAGTAGTCTGTCTCTGTACGGAGTGTTTGCAAAAATATAAATTGGCCTGAGTAATTTGTGTTGTGTGTTGTAGTTCGTATTTTTGTTTGCATTCTGGTTGTTTGTTGTGTTTTCGTAAAATTCGAGGAATCTTCATCTGTTCCTCATTGTAATCCTGCTTTGGGCATGTAGTGGTGTGAGTGTTGGGCATAATTTTAGGGATTTAATGGGGCTTGGCAAACAAATAATAATAAGTACCAGTTGAAGTAGAACGCATAAGAGAAAATTGAATCTTAACTCTGAATATGAGATGATTTGGGATGCATAAGGAGCAATGCATCTTGTAGTAGAAATATGAGATGATTTGGGATGCATAAGGAGTAATGCATCTTGTAGTAGGTATCAATTTTGTATCTGAATTTGTTGAAATTAGTGTTTGTAGGTGACATTATGTATCTTAATGTGTTGAAAATAGTGTATCAGTTTTGTAACTTGATATGTTGAAGATTCTGTTAGTAGGTATCAATTATGTAATGTGTTGAAAATAGTGTTTGTAGGTTTAAAAATGTGTAGATAATATTGTGAGTAGGTATCACTTCTGTATGTTAATGTGGTCATAATATTGTCAGCACGTATCAGTTCTGTTTCTTAAGCAAAAGGTGTCTTTTGCAGGTATAAAATGGATTGTGGGTTTGAGCTTTGTTTCCCGGAGTCAGAGGTCTATTCTGCGCGGGTGAATAATCTGTGTGTGGCGCAAACAGTCCTGTGTAATTTTGGGGCGCATTTCAGTGAGTCGCTTATGGAAAGATTTAGAGAGAGCTGTTTTGGGCACCTGTTGGGACTCCATAAAATTGCATTTAGTGGTCAAATTGTGCATGGTCTGGCACTCCGGCGAGTCGGAGGACTTGGTGTGAAGGACATGATGCCACCTGTTGGGACTCCATAAAATTGCATTTAGTGGTCAAATTGTGCATGGTCTGGCACTCCGGCGAGTCGGAGGACTTGGTATGAAGGACATGATGGGCCTTAGTTATGCAATAGGGTCCAATGTTGCTCAATTCAGTGTAAAGGATTTTTGTTTGATAAGTGGTCTAAAATGTGGAAGCGAGCCTAACATAACGTCTGCTGGGGAAGATCATGAGCGATTTATGAAAGCGCATTTTACCAACAGGAATCACATTACTGGCCAGGACTTAGAAAATGCATTCCGAAAGTCTGAAAGAGGAAGCGAGGACTCGTTCAAATTGGGACTGCTGTATTTTGTGGAGTCTGTGATAATGGGCAGACCCCAAAATATAAAGATAAATGAGGACTAATTACATTTGGTTCATAAAATGGATGAATTCAACAAATATCCGTGGGGATCTATATCGTTTGAGTGTCTGCAAGATTCTCTGATGTTTGTCCCGGGAAGAAAGAGAGAGATGAAGACAAGGATGGGCAGGGGAAAGGGGAGAAAAAGCGAAAAAAGGCGGTGCGGAGTTC